AATGATCGTAGTGACTGAATATTTTATTGAATATCTTGTAGTTAGAAGTCTGAGATCGCGACAATAGTAATAATTTGCCAGTGAATATTGAAACTGTAGAAGAATCAATATTTTCAAGGCTTTATAATTAATAGAATGGAAAGTTTAAGAAAAAAGAAGTCGAAAAACAAATTGACAACTGCTTCAATCGCGAACTGAACAGGTCTGTATGCAGTCGGCTTCCTTAGCGAAATCGTAAAAATTGCGGCATCTAATTTGTTATTGGCAGTAAAAGCATGTTTTGTGCAGTGGTTATGTAACTCAATTTTGTTTATTTAAACAGTTTTATTATTCATTCAAATATTTCTCCATTTTCGATTGGCTTTATCCCTTGGCAAATTTTTCAAAACCAGCTGTCTTCAGATTAACGGTCGGCGGTGGACAACAACCGTCTCAAACGGCTGAATTGCGATAATTGTTAATATCATAACCAGAAATACGTTATCGCAAAAACTTCGCGAAGTTATAGAGGGTCAGAAAAGAATAAGGGAAACAAGGTATAGGGAAAAATATGATAACGCTGTTTTTTAAGCCTTTGCCACGTCTATTCACCATTTACAGATGCATGCTTTTCGCGTGGGAAATACAAAATATCTTTTAAAAATTTTATAACAATTTCACTGGAGACCTATTGTCTACAACAAGTCAGAAACAGCTATGGAAAACAAAACATTTAATTAAAAATGGATTATTATGTCCAGTTATTTCACACAAAATACAGACATTTTCTTCTTTTAAATAGACTTAAATAGTTTCCTTGAAAGCGATTGCTCAGAGAGTGCTCAGAGAACTCTGGAAACGAGTTCGCCGAGTTACCTTTCTGTAAAAGCGTAACAATGAGTATTAGTAACAGTAAGCCTGGATATTTAAGTTAGGGAGATGAAACAATCACTCTTAGTACAAGTGCAACTGGCAATGACATTAATCCGTCTGTACTCGGCAATTGTGTTATAAAGGAACGTTTTTACTTAAATCGCCATTTTTGTTGACTTTGTAGACTACTATCAACAGGTAAAACTCGGAATTGATTTAGATTCCATCTTTCTGTCGTTGTTTCGAGAAAAAAAGTCGGTTTAATCATTTTTTCTTGCGATAACCACTTCGATGAACCAAGACGTTTCGATGCATGTCTCCGACCGTCAGGATGTATTGTCGATTGTGTCGTGGCTGTTCTAGTCTGCTACACAGCCGCTGTTAGTGTCGTTACGCAACTCTCCTCCCCACTAACGGCTGCTGAAAGTCGAACCACATTCTTTTCCCACGATTAGCCAATTAGAATTCAGCTCCCATTTTCTGGAAGGTGTTCGCGCCACGTTTGCGGTATGGTGACTCCTCCAGTCACAGCTTTGCTTTTATCGTTGCCCCATGTGTGAATGATAGAACAATCAAAATCGTCGCGTGAAAACACGCAATCAACCCGGGTAGTGTTGTCGTAATCGAGTCCTTTCAAAATTTTTGAGATAAGCAGCAACAGCGAGCAAGTCAATCAAATATGATGCACAACATGGATGTGCTTAAAGTTGCCGGGTATAGTTTCGGGAAATCGCTCATCGATAATTTATATGATTGCTTTTGTTTGAATCAATACCCCTGAGAGTTTAGTCTTCACAGTCTTCACATGTACAACAACACAATGAACACATCCGGCACATGAAATTCATCATACATATGCACGTTAAAAAGAACCAACCGATCCTGGTAAGAGTCTTGTAGGCCTATCAAACCTTTTTTTTTTTCGCTTGGAATTGCAAACAACCTTTTCGTTGCTGGCAGACACAGAGTCCATCAAATTTCAGCGACGATTGATTGATTTGTCGAAAACTGAGAAGCGTGTTCGCTACTGGTGCCCTGCGGCTCACGTATTGCCAAGTTTCTTATACATGATTGGTTTGTTCGTTAGACCACAAACACAAAGTTAAAGGAATGTGGTTCGATTTTCAGCTAGACTGCTAGCAGTCTCTCTTTTTCTTCAGATTTAGTAAAGGGAGTGCAAATGCGCCCGAGCGTTGAGCAGCGAAGCCGCGAGACGCGAGAAACGAGGGCTCTCCCGTCTCGCGCTTTCAGTCACGCGCGTGGTCATTTGCGTGTCTCGGGCGTTTTTTTCGACGGACCCAGAAAAAAGAGAGACTGCTCGTAGTCTAATTTTCAGCAGCCGTTAGTGGGGAGGAGCGTTGCATGACGACAGGCTAAACACGGCTGTGTAGTAGACTATGGCTGTTCGGGATTATTGGCAACAGTCTTGGCTCGGTGCTCTTGGTAATTGTTTCGATTTGGTCCTCACTACTCCAGCATTACTCATGTTACATGATTGTATAACTAACAATATATGGAAGTCGTTTACTTGGTAGGCAGCTAACGTTCTGGTGATCGAATGTTTGGGCATCAATACTATTAGGATATCAATTCCATCGGTCCTTTTCATGTCATGGGGTGAGGTTCTATGTGGACCAGGGCCCGTTTCTCGCAAGTCCGGGAAACTATTCGGGCCCGAAATCAAATATTCAAATCGAAATATAAACAATAAGAGCGCGGGTCCTGGCTAGCAAAATACTCCGTTTTGTTTCATTAACTGATAGTTTTATCATGTAAGATGTAAAAAAAATCTTTATTTATCCATGTTCAATTCATCAGCCAAAAAATTACAATTCAAATAAGACAACATTATAAACTATCTACATTATAAAACATATTAAAGGCCCATGTTCACCTTAGATGCATTGCGCGCCCTGTACTCCAGAAAAAACATTTCGCGTAGTTGAAAATCGCTGCCTTTAGTGTGTAAAGTCAATCTTTGTTAATCTTCTACAGTTCGCTAAATCTGGTTTAAAAGAAAGTCTCAACAAGTTCTTTTGGTATTTTTCTTTACATCTTTTTGGATATTTTGGAATGGTATCGAGCCTTTTTGTTTCTGTGAGTGTTTGTTTCACTGCAGCACTTTCGATGGCGGCTCCATCGAAACGAACGGTTGGAAGCATGGTTGGAAGACCGCGTCGACGGGGGTCGCCGAAGTACATTCGTCTCCGTGAATCCGCTTTTTTAATCCCTGGAGAGATGGGAAAGAAACTCTTGGCTGTAAATTCTACAGACAGCGTGTTTGCCGAGTTCCTTCTACATCGAATGTTCAATTGTAAACAAAGGTCCCGTTGAAATCAGTTGAAAGCAAAACAAGCGAGTCAATCTAACATGAACAATGCTTTATTTAATCTAACCTATGAAGCGAGTGATATCCTTAACGTAAACTTATCGTCTGGCGTATCACGATTAAAGCCGGCTCTAAAGTAGCGAGAACTCTTATTAGCAAACCAATCCTTAGCAAAACCTAAAGAAAGTGTAATACAGCGATTACAGACTGTATGCAGTGCTGATTCGGCGCTTTGCAAACACAACTTCTCGCTTATTCTTTCGAGAACACATACCTAAAAGCTTCCTAAGAATTAACACAAAATAATAGATTGTGTTGTGTGTTCATCGGACTCAACAAGGCATCCATATGCATTCACTACCAGTTTAAATTTTGAGGTGCTTTCTGCGGTGACATTTAACGAAGTCGGCGATATATCTTCCTCCATTTGGAAAAGAATTAAAAGTCTTACTGGCTTCTTTGATACTGTCTCTCTAAGCTTCGGTCAAGCGTGAAAAAGGCTGCAATTGTAGTCTCCCTCGCAGTCGTTTTTAGTATCGTCACGCAACGCTCCTCAAAGTGGAAGCCAATCAAAACACTGCATTTGACAAAAGAATCGTTTCAAAACAAAAACACAAGCGCGCAAAGGTGACTTGGGGGACAAGATGCCTTACTCGCTTTATGGCCCCGATGCCAGAAGATACTTTGTTAATTATCTTCTCCATGAGGCTACCCCAATCGGGATTGTCATCGATGGTCACTCCAAGAGATTTAGCAGTGTAGCGACTTGGGTAACTCGAAAATCATTAATTGCAAGTGTTGGGGAAACTGTTACAGTACATAGCCTCTGCCTAGATCCAGATAACATGAACTCGGTTTAAATCATATTTAGAGTGAGTTTGTTTGCTCTTAGCCAATTGTGAACATTTTCTAAGTCTTCCTTTTAACTTGTCTGAATATTGTGAATATTGTTGCTCGCGTATGTAAGATGGGTATCATCAGCATACATCCGAGGCTCGCAATTTGACAAGCATTTGAGATCGTTAATATATAATAGAAACAATAATGGACCTAAAATAGTACCCTGAGGGACACCACAACTTAAAGAGCAACTGCTTGAGAGGAGACCATCGATGGGACACACTTGTGTTGCAGTCCTCTAAATATGACTGAAACCATTGATTCGCAATACCATTAATACCCTAAAGGTTAAGTTTTGATAAAACGATCTCGTGGTCCACCGTGCCGAAAGCCTTTTTAAAATCTAGGAATACGACAGCATTGATTTTGCCACGGTCAATATTATATGCCCAAGTATCTGTTACCTCAAGAAGAGCCGTCGCACATGCTGAATGAATAGCACGAAAGCCTTATTGATATTTACAGATGATGTCGTTACTCAAAAGTTAAAAGACTTTGTTAACACTGGTCGGACGGAGCTGAAAACATTGGTCTGTGTTGTTGATGTACCTCTGATAAACATCACCACATTGAGAACCAATATTGCAGCTAAGTTCTGGACCGAAAGTAACAAAATGATTATTAAATTCGTTCGAAAGATCAGTTGGATTGGTTATTGATACACCATTTACTTTCAGAGATCTTACCGCTGTTTTCCCAGATTTCAGTGAAGTAAGTTCATTGATAGTCTGCCAGGTCATCCTTGAATCGATTCCATCACAGTGCATATTTCGGTAACTGGACTTGACTCGACCCTCTGGGATTTCTGGTAAAGACCACATAAGCGACGATGAAGACGTCCAACTTCCAGTATATTGGATTTGAAGCCATTTCTTTACTGTAGTTGGCCAGGTCACTGTTATTCAAGCTTTTTACTCACCTAGAAACGGGTATTAAATGTCTTATCATCCTCTTCAGAACCTGGAAGATTGTTGCTATATGCAAAAGGTACGGAATTATTGTCTAATGTGTCGTTGGGTTTAGGATAAGCCGAACTTTTTCGTGGAAAGTCCAACTCCACTACATGCATGGAAACTTCAAATCTTTCAAGGTTTTCGCTTCTCTCGGCACTGCTGGATGACTTTCTTGTTTTGTCTCTCATCGCCTCTACGAACCTTCTTTTAATGGAGTGAAATGATTTTCCACCAACGTTGAAATAGTAAATGAACGGATTGCAAGTCGAGTTTGCCAGGCCCACTCCATAGGTAATAAGCCGCACTGCATCCATAGGGTTTGGAAATTCCCTCAGATATCGTTCTAATATACCATGATAGAGAGTAAACGGTAGCCAGCAAATTACAAAGCAAATAACAACAATCAATAAAACACGAAGGACCTTCTTTCCGGTACGCTCTAGGAGCTTTTCGTTCGCTATCGTGGCGTTAGATTTAGCGTCCAAGGAAGATGACAATCTGCGTTTTCTGGTCCATACCACTCTTATTACACGATAGTATGATATGGTCATGGTTGCAAAAGGTATCACAAACCCAAGTAAGACAGATACTGCAAGGTAAATCCTCCCAAAGAGTCTCTTGCTTTGTGTGGTGGTGCAGTAATATATTGTGTCGTTCTTAAAGTCAATAGGGACAACTTCAGCTGAGTGGAACACTGGAAGGTTTTGAACTGTACCGTAGATCCAAGCAAACAAAGTCAGCCACGAAGGTCTTAGATACCAAGCCCTCTGGACAGGGGTTAGTTCTTGCCTTACAAACGTCATGTAGCGGTCGATACTTATGACTGTCAATAAGCTTACGGAAATTACTGGTCCAAGATTCTGTAGATTAAGAGGATATGACGAGTTAAGACCGAAAAGCCAAAAAATTTGGGTCAGTGAAGACCACTATGACAAGTGGCCATCAGAATCCTGAAAATCATTTGCATATTCTGTTTTATTTCCTTTCTTTCTGTTGCGCCGCCGCGAATCCAGCAACTGTCTTTCGAATTTAGAATAACGCAATTAGAATAACACGTGCCTTTACCACTATTTAACTGGTTTAAATCTAATAATGTGAATGTGAATGTAAAGGATTCCGATTGATAACATTTGGAAAGAAGGGCGTAAGTTTCTGATCAGATAAACAATAATAACGGTGTCGTGAAAAGTTGAAAGAGAAAATGAAAAATAGAAGCAAAACGGAGCATAGCAAATGAATACTGACAGGGCTAAGGTTTAAGTTAAAGGTTTTGTCCCATGTTCATTTTCCCGTTCCCCATGCTTGTTACTGTCACCCTTTCTCACTTTAGCAATACCGCACAGTGTCTACTAGCTAATCAGACAGAAAATTGAACCATCAAAAACATGTTATAGTATCTGAACGTGAGCATTTTATAAGCACTTTTCTTTTCGGTATGACGCAGAACCAAAGTCTGCACTACGGGCTCTCAAGGTTTTACTTGAAGGTCACTAAAACTTGTCGTGGGACACTCCTGATAAAACTCTTAACGAAGGTCTATTCATTGATCGTCAGTTGATTTACCTGCATGAAGCGAGAAAGCTTACACAAGCCATTGTCTCTGACATGGTACTCATTGGGGTAGTGAAAATTACTAAAAATGGTCAAGGGAACACACAGCAGGCATACCATCAGATCAGAAATGGCCAGGTGAAGGAGAAATAACTGGACAGATGATGATTGACCTCGCCGGCGAAGGAAAGCGATCAAAGCTACGACCATTCCATTGCCAACTACTCCAATGACAAAAATTAATCCTGAATGTTAAAAAATAATGATACTAATAATTCTATCAACCATAATCCCATTTACAGTAGTGACTTCATTATAAACTTTCAGTTACTTAGAGACAGGCGTAAAAGCTGTCTCATTATACTATTATTATGACTCCGTAGATGGCACGCGAGATAGCGGAACACGAACTTTACAAGTGGTTAAAAACATTATTTTTTGCTTTCGAATGAATATGTTTGCTAGGACCAACTATATAAAGCAGCATATGAAGCAGTCGGTGAGCACAATTATAGTCATTTCAACCTAAATATCTTAAAAAGTTTTTGCGAAAGAAAAACACTGAAATGAAAATGGTTTCAAATTTAACGACCCATTGTCTTATTTTATTAAGAAAAATCCCCTGCATTTTCATATTGGACTTTTAAACAAATTTCAACTTACTAAAACGAGATCGAGCGCGACGTTTCCAGTTTACCCCCGTATATCGACTTGACTGATACAAAAAGGTCTCTGAGAGGGCTTTTAATTAAAGGGATGCATCGTAAAGGAAAATATTATTTTCTTGTTTGTTTTTTGTTGTCACGTTGCAGTGAGTAATTTCTAAAAGGCTTCCTTATTAAAGTATCTTCTATCTGTGAGTACAAGGCGGTGTGATACAAAGGTAATGATGGATGGCTTGTTTGTTCTGGTTAACGATAATTGATTAAAGTTTGCGCTGGAAACAATATCGCATGCAAATTGGTGGATTGAAATTTGTCACTGGCCCTATTCATGCAAAATTTAAAACAAAAAAGTCTCCAGACAATCTTGTCTTCTTTTCCAAACGTTTGTCGTGCTCTTTTCTTATACAACGCAAACAGGTGCCGCCGGCTAACACTAACTAGCCAAGTTATTAAAATCAACCTAATAATTTTGTAATTCTCCTAGTATTTAAACTTCATTCTTGGAAACCTTTTGAACCTTACCATGTGGCAAAGCCATACTTTCCAAAGGTTAGTAAAGCGCGCGTATCTCGTTCGGTACAAACGAATTTTGATTTTTGCTTAGACTCGAAGAGTATCACGAGGTCATTCTTATTGAGCTTCCGACCAGGGCGCTCCGAGTATAAGAAAGGGGACATAAATTAAAATTACTAAAAAATTGGTATGTTAATTTTTAGTGCAAGAAACAATTTAGCTATCAGGATACGTTCTCTACAGAGCAGGTACCTACTTATTAAATAAGAGACTTAAAGCCACGAACATACGAATTTTAGAGAAAAACATCAACTTCCGAACATTTATCAAACCCGGGTTAAAACGGTTCAAGTATTGCCTGATTAGTCTGGAACGTTCCGTACGGCAAAATAATGCGTTCAGGAGATGGCGATCATGGCGGACACTCAAGCCAGATTTGAATAAACAAATTTCCCTTTTAAGACTTTGGCAGTTACTTTGCGAGATTTAATCTTTTAGTCTAACTATCTTCCGAAGATCTAATAATTCATTCAGTCTTCGACCATGCTGAAAAAAAGGAGCTTCAAACAACCTCGTAATAGATGCAAATGACGGCTCGAGACGGCAGTGAAAGCGTCAGTAAAAAATAAATTTGCGGTCTTTCATGACCAACTTAATTTTACCCCATTAAGAGTCGTCCAGTCTGTCCAATGTAGGTAAATTTTCATGGAGTTGAATTCCAGGCACGGCGTAGGGTCGCATTAGGAGATTTTGCTTCGGTAGTCTGACAGTCGTGCAGTGCGCGTCAAAGAAATGTCCCAAACTGATTTGTCGGATGCACATGATTAGAGCTGTTGCTTTTTGCTCACGAAAGACAATGCTTTTTCACATTCTCGATAGCTGCTCCCGATGACTGCTTTTGCTTTGAAAACTGATAAAAAAAAAATACTATAAAACTATTCAGTTAGTTGCTTACCATAAAAAACGACAGTTATAGAAAACGCACCACTTTGCTCGTCCCAAAGCTCTTGGCTCTCTGGCAAGCGAACCATCTGATAGAAAATGCCCAAGCTCAAACTGTTGGCTGTTTCGGGACCACACTGCAGAAGACAAAAAAATCAATTTACCACGGCGTAAGAAGGATTTTCGTTCCAAAGAAAGCGGATTAGTACAAAAGATAGATCACCTGTCTGTTGGTGTTTGTCTTCCTGTTTGCTTACGAAAAACAAAGCTACGTGTTTGCTTGTTAAATACCAGTTAAGTGAAATCTCGGATCTCTGCATGCATCTAGTACACAACGGAGATTTTAAAATTTCGGCCAGAAAGGCGAAGAAACTCAGGAACGTCTGTTTCGACGTACAAAACCATCTTTTTCAATGAGAACAAGTAAAAAACTGCAAATCAACTTATGAATTTTATTTTAATGAGAATTAAAAAGGTTCCCTTCATACCGAAGGCTTTACATTTGGCCTAAATTCGGCCTCGCTTTGAAAAAGGGGCCCAGGCCAACTCGGAAATAATCACACATAAAATTTTTATTTAATTGGAGTTAAGCTGCGTAGCTCAATATCGAGTAAAAAAGTGAAGTTGAGCTCTCGGGCTTGAGAGATTGTTAATAGGATCGACTCAAGATATGTTTGACGTGTGTAAATCTGATGTTTGAGATCGTGGACAAAAGCCAAATTGTATTTGTTTCAGAAGTAAATATTTTCTACCAATCTAGAACTTTAATTTTACACAGGTTTGCAACTAAAGAAACGGAATTGTAAATGTTTAAACCTTTCTGTTATCTCTCGAAATTTCCTTCATTTTTAGGGAAGGGAGGGTGGAAAGGGGGTATGTCAATTGAACTAATAAACTGGAGAGTGTGATTAAATTATTTTTAAAGACTTCTGACCGCGAACCTGGAGCGGAGTCTCCGAAATAGATACTGACTAAAATTCGATACGTGCCGATCACAAAATGAAATTATTTGGGTAAAAGAGGAAGTATTAACAGAGGCAAAATGACTACTTTACATTTGACAGTTACTGTTATCAATAATTCATTGCACTCTTAGGTTTGTTTGGTCTGAAAGAACTTAATAAAATCTGCATCCAAAATATTATCTTAAACATCTTGATTTGCTCATGGCATTGCGGAGTTTTTTAAGATGTTTTCTTTTTTTGACTTGATGCTATGAACAATCAATGAAGCAGAAGAAAGCACCAGAGCTTTTCGAACGTTCGATTTTCTCATATAAGCTGTCATTGCTCTGTTGTTTTTCAGGTATAAATAATGTATGAACAAATAAAGGAAAATATAAAGAAAGGAGGTTTCCGTGCTCCGCTAAAAATAACAAGATAGCCCTTACTCTTTTAATTTATAGAAAACAATCGACTTTTTTCTATCGCGGCTACAAAAACAAGTAGCCAAGGATGTTTTTTTACAGGCTTTAAGATAGAGGGGCACCCATCGACTATTTTCTGTAAAATATTTGAAGAAGCAAATAGTGCAAAATATAATGTAAATATTAAATGTAAAAAATATTAAAGGTAAAATATTTGAAGAAGCAAATAGTGCCTAGAATATTCTATTGCTTGAGGACGGCTAAAAAATTTCTAGACGACCGTTCCATTCATGTACAATTTTCGAAGCTTGTCTAATAAATTTCCTTTCCATTTTCTGAAGTTTAATTTTTCATATCTCGCTCCCCTGGTTAGGCCATTTTTGGTAGGAAAAGGAGCCTTAGGATGAACGAACAGATACAAATTTTATAGCGCCGCTTAGAATGCATTTCTAGAGGTCTAAAAGTACTCTATGTGGGAGGAAACTGTCATTGGTTGCCAGTCCCGAAGATAGCGTGTGAAGACAAGCGTGAATAACATTAGTAAATAACATTAACACCAGTCAAAAAATTACCGAGTTCGTACGCCCCCATCCTCCCCCGCCATTTTCTCATTTTGTCAGTGTGGATGGTGGCATCATTGTACATGACAATCTTTTATTAATAATTTAGTTCGCTTGCAGCTTTGGCTTTCTCAAATTGATTCCAACACCACTTTTATATGATACTGATGCTACTTATTAAACTGAATGAAACGAGCAGTCTGAACGAGGTGGTTTTAATAAACAGTATTTCGTTTTCCTAAGTTTGTGAGTTTTAAAATGAGTAGACAAAACGGCAGTTTTTGCCACTTTTGTAGTGTGGTAATTTACGAGAATTGCGCGGCTTTTTAAAGGAAGCGCGTACCACAATATGCCACACCATCTTAACTAAACCCTAACGAAAGGGCTTTTTTGTCCCAACGCTCTATAAAGATGTGGAAAATAAAATATTTACTTCCAAATCAGGTAAACAACGATTATTTATGGAAGGAAAGTGACCTAAGATGCCTGCTAGATCGAGGATATAGCTTTTTGTTGTTATTCCTGATAAGTACGCGGACAAGTTTCCTCTTCAAACTCCTTCCATGTAGCTGCTGTCGACTCTACTTTACCTAAAACAAGTTTGCATTTTTGTTTATAATATCTTGTGGTCGCCGTACAGGTTTGTTTCCATTTTGAAGCCCGCGTGTGGCTATGTCATCATTCAGTGAGATAATTTGAAAATTCTCGCGTGTATTTCAATAACCAGCAGTCAAGAGTGCTCGAATAAAACGATGCCTCGCTTGGCTCATAAAGCGCCAGTTATGCAGGCTATGACGCAAAGAGAAATGAGCGTTGAAAAAAACTTCGAGGGCTTGGGGCTTGTTGGGAGAGGGGGTTGGGGTGGGGGAAACCCTCCTCTCCCCCTCTTCCTTTCATCCGCTTTTTCCCTTAGCTTTCTCATTAGGCTTTGATAGATTGTGTTAGCATAATTTTTAGCATAATTCGTCATTTCGAGCATAATTTTCATCTATTTCCGAAAAAAAAAAAACACTGCAAGCATAACTCAAATTTTTTGGTATTTATTGGTGGTGGAAGAAATTTTGGTGTGGGGGGGGGGGGGCCCAGTTTTCATATTTAATCAAAACTGCATAACCAAAGTCTATGGCCCCTTATTTGT